CCCCAGTGTCTTGCATCCATTGGTTAGGCCTATATGCATGCATACAAGTCCTTCGGTTGATCTCTTACCTCCCCCCCCACCCCCCTTGCCTTCCCGCTGTAGTTTGACAGTCTGTCCTATGCTTCTTTGCCTCTGTATCTATTTTTGTTTATCAGTTTATAATGTTATTTATTATTCCATAAACGAGTGAGATCATGTGGTATTTTTCCTTCATTGACTGGCTTATTTCACTTAGCATAATGCTCTCCAGTTGCATCCATGCTGTTGCAAATGGTAAGAGTTCCTTCTTTTTTACAGCAGCGTAGTATTCCATTGTGTAGAGGTACCACCGTTTTCTAATCCATCTGTCGTACTCTTGACCTTGGCTTCTTCTCCCGCTCGCCTTAGAATTCCGGAATGGGAAGACCCGGGCGTGAGAAGGCTGCGGCCGGCTTTCCCACACCCTTTCCCGCAGCTCTAGCCACGCGCGGCTATAACCCTGAGAACGAATGGCCCGCGATGCACACTCAGGCCTTTGGGCGATCTGTCTTCCTTGCTCAGGGGACATTGAAGCCTTGGGGGCCGATGCTGAATCAAGGGTAAGTGGTGCTGAGGTGGGGTCCCCAGAAGGGCCAGGGCCACAACCACGTCCTTCAGATGCGTCCTTGAGCCTCTGAAGGTCACAATGACCTTGACTTTCCTTGGCCTGTGGCCACATCACTCCAGTCTCAGCCTCTGTGGACCCATCGCTTTCGCCTTTTGGTCTGTCCTCAAATCTCCTCGTGCCTCTGTCTTAGGAGGGCATTTACGATGCATTTAGGGCCACCACCATCCCCCCATTTCAAGGCCCTTAACTTAACACATCTGCGAAGATCCCTTTTCCAAACAAAGCGTTCCTTACAGCTTCCAGAGCTTAGGACTCATTGCTCTGGGGAACATTTTCTTCCTTCCTTTTTTATAATATATTTTTTTTGATTTCAGAGAGGAAGGGAGAGGGGGAGAGAGAGAGAGAGAAACATCAATGATGAGAGAGCATCACTGATTGGCTGCCTCCTGCACACCCCACACTGAGGATCGAGCCTGCAACTGGGGCATGTGCCCTTGACTGGAATTGAACCCGGGACCCTTCAGTCTGCAGACTGACGCTCTATCCACTGAGCCACACCGGCTAGGGCTGGGGGACCATTTTCCAGCTTGCCACACACTAAGGTTCAGAAATCACCGATGTGGCCCATGTCCTTAGGGCAGCCCAGGCCTAGGAGATGGGAGCCCCGAGAAAAGGGATTAATATGAGGTTCCCAGGCCGCCTCTGTCTGGTCCTGGTTCCTGGGGATATGACAGCTGACGTGTCCTGAGCCCTCCTCACCCACTAATCTAAGCCAAGGACGTGTCCTGTCTCATCCCTCCTCCTAACAACCTGGTGATAGGCCCTGCTATTACCTGCCATTTTGCAGATGAGAAAATGAAGGGGAAGGGAGGCTGAGTCACTCGCCGAAGGGGATGGAGCTGGGTGAGCCACCCAGGCCCCCAGAGGCCAACACCTCCCGCAGCGTGGGCACCACATCCCGTTGGGCTTCCTCTGATCTGCTCCGTGAATCACCCCTTTCTGATATTTGTATCTGCCTAGCACATACGGAACCACACTTTTCTGGAAAGAAAGGGGACCCCCCTGAACCCCTGGCCCCCCTCCTTCTCAGAGCCACGGCTCCAAAGTCTTGGTGAGTCCCAGCCTCCAGCTACCAGACAGCTTCTTACTCAGCCCACGGGGGTGGGGAGGCGGGGAGGCACGCAGGTCCTGCCAAGAGGGGGAGCAGCTGGGATCCTAATGAATCTCCCAGGTTAGTGGTCCGGGAGGGGCCCTGGGAGTTCCCCAGCGTCCAGATGAGGGGGGAAAGGCAGGCAGGGAAGGCGGGCATGTTCCCAGGCACCCTGAGTACCTGTTTGCTTCTGGCCATGACTCATTCCCTCCGGAGCGAGCGCCTCGGGTGAAATGTTTACCAGCCCCACCTCCCTCCACGCGGCCTTATAGCTCCCCTCCCAGCGGGGAGAGCACGGAGCAGCCCTGCCCTTCTGTCCTCCCCACGCAGCCCACCCACGGAGCCCACCCGAGGCCATGGCAGCTCCGGCGGCCCAGGTGTCCAGGGAGCGGGCGGCAGCCGAACGTCCTGGCTCCAACCAGAAAGTTGTGAAGTACTTGGGCCAGGACTTCGAGACGCTCAGGCAGCAGTGCTTGGATTCAGGGGTGCTGTTTAAGGACCCCGAGTTCCCAGCGTGTCCGTCAGCCTTGGGCTACAAGGATCTTGGACCACGCTCCCCCCAAACTCAAGGCGTCATCTGGAAGCGGCCCCCGGTAAGGAGACGGGCTTGCTGTAAGGTGTCAGGCAGGATGGGGGGCTCTGGCTTCAGGTCGGAAGTAGTTGAGGGAGAAGGTGGCTCTGGATCCTCAATTTCTAAATCCCACATTTCAGAACCCCTTCCCCTTTAACAATCTTTTCCAGAGGTGGTGAGGTTAGAGGGAAGAGCATGCAGAGGCGTTGGGATCAGACGAGTTAGATTTGAACCCTGGCTCCGCCTGTGTGGTCTTGGACACATGACCTCCGTAAGCTTCAGTTTTCTCATCTGTGGAATGGTGCCACTGGCACCTGATTTTTCCAGGGTTGGTATGAGGGCCAGAGATGAAGCTCCGAGCATCATGCCTGGCCCAGCACAGGCACAGACCACGTGGTCGTGACCGCCTGGGCCCCTGGGCCAGGGCACAGGGGAACAGGCTAATGCTAGATGTCACCATTGGTCAGGGGTAAGTGGTGACTTGGTTGCTGAAAGGTGCAGCCGTTGCTCAAGGTCACGAGCTGGGTCACTGTTCCATCGGGGCTGGTGAGTGGAGAGGCGGGGGCTGTGGGGCTGTGAACGGGGCTGGAACTCAGGGCCTCCTGAATGCTGTCACCGGTATCACCCCAAACTCAAAGGCAGAGAATGGAGAACCATCCCCCCAAAATCCATGTCCGTGACCTACTGCTACGGGACCCGTGTCCCGTGATTTGCCCTCAGGGGTCGGAGCCCCCTCTGCAGGGTGGTTGTGAGAACTGAGAGAGTCTGTTCAGCATCTGCCACGTAAGAAGTCTCATAAGAGCACATGTTCCGTGGCTGTTGGCCAGGGAGCCTTTGCCTTCTGGAGCATGATGGGAAAATCAAGTCGTGGTACCTGTTTTCTTGGCCCTGGATGACAAGGGAGGATAAGAAGATAATTCTTTGGATACTAGAGGCCCGATGCACAAAATTCGGGCAAGGGGCTCGGCCCTCGCAGCCTCGGCTTCATCCAGAAGGTCGTCCGGAAGGATGTCCGGTAGGTTGTTCGGCTGTTTGGTCTAATTAGCATATTACGCTTTTATTATTATAGATGGCAAAATCCTATCCCTACCCCTTCATTTTCATCCGACCAGTTTTGCCCACAGTTTCTACCTCTGAGGCTCTAATTAGCATATTACGCTTTCATTATTATAGATGGCCAAATCCTATCCCTACCCCTTTATTTTCATTCGACCAGTTTTGCCCCACAGTTTCTACCTCTGAGGGTAACTCCTTTGCCTGCCTCTGTCCTGCCCACCCGGGTCCGCCTCCCCACCCCTCTTGAAACATATGGCATTCCTCTGGGATGCTGGCAAAATCAAGGTTGGGAATCATGGTTTTATATTCTTTCTTTCTTTGTTTTAACTGGGGGTTTCTTTCTTTCATATTTTCCCATCATCATTTATCCCCCCTATGCAGTGGTTTTATATTCTTGTCTCAAGAGTTGACAGCTACATTTCATTTCAACAGACAGTATTTTTAGGCCTCTGTTGTTGTTTTTTTCTTTAAATAATAGTTTACTGATTTTTAGAGAGAGTGGAAAGGAGAGGGAGAGAAAGAGAGAAACATCGACGTGAGAGTATGATATCCATTAGCTGCCCCCTACTGGGAATCGAACCGACAACCCTTCGGTGCTCAGGATGTCACCCAACCCACTGAGCCACACCGGCCAGGGCTAGGCCTCTGTTGGTGTCAGGCATCGGCTCTGCACTGTTGGGGAAGGCGGTGGGGCAGGTTCATTACTGCAGAGAGACTTTGGCGCTGGGGTAGGAGGAAGCAGAGGGTCCCAGTGACGGTCTAACGCCCTGGGAGCAATGCTTGCAAGTTGCCTTCGCAGCGAGAAGATGCGATTGCAGTGCCTTCCTGCCTCGGACCCCTTACCGGTGCCCGTGTTTCCCTCGAACCCATTCATCAGGGGCCGAAGCAAGCAAGGCTTGAGTCATGTGTGTTTATGGAGTGTGCTGAGGTCCTCACCTGAGTAATAGTCAACACTGCTAATGACAAGATGTGGTTGTTATTCAGGAAGAAAAAAAACAAAACAGTGTCCCGTGTGTGTGTGTGTGTGTGTGTGTGTGTGTGTGTGTAGCCTCCTGGCCTCTTTTCAGCCTCTTTGGCTGCCAAACTACTTTGTGTCTCCGATCCGAGTTCCAGTAGAAAGTTAGCCCTGGAGAGAAGACTTCCGGAATATTCTTCCGGCCTAGGCTGAGATGCCATCTCCTTACAAAACCAGGGACGCCCTGTGGCCCCCGAAAGATTCATGACATATTAGTCATGACATCCCTAGGTTGTTTTTTTCCTGGGTCGGGGGAGGGGGGGTGCATTTTGAAACCTGCTAAGAAGAACATGCCGTAGAATGAACATTCCTTCCACGTACACCCCGCTTAGCACCGTCCTGCTCAGCACACTTCAACTTGTTTCTGGCCTTTGCAATCCACTCTGTCTCTTAAACCAAACTCAACATTTCAGCAGAATTTGGTAGACTTATCGGCCATGCGTCGAATGAGCTGATATCGCACGGACAGTGTGACATGGGTAACGGGTTGTCCGGCTCAGGCAAGTGACTTGGGACGTGTCCACGTGTTCCACAGACAGGAGTCGAAGCCACGGGGTTGGGCGCTGTCGCCGAGAGAGAATGCTTAGGGCAGGCCATTGCCGCGGGAAACGGGGTCCCTGCAGAGGCCTGAGGCCTGGCCGGGGGTTCCCTGCTTCTTAGGGGGGAGTGGAGCGGAGGAACCCTTGTAGGAGACTGAGGACGCCGTAGACAGGTGAGGAGGGGACGAGAGATGATCTCCTAGGTTGCTGTGAAGTCTGAGTTCAGGGACCCCGAAGCCATCTTTACCCTCGTGGCCACCATCACTGGGCATCTTATGACTTGTGTTTTGTCCCCAATTGCTTTCAGGAATTGTGCCCCAGCCCCCAGTTCATCGCCGGTGGCGCCACCCGCGCGGACATCTGTCAAGGTGGTCTGGGTGAGTAGGCGGACCGCCCTGTTTGTTCGGCGCAGGGCGGGTGTGCATGTGGCACGGGTGACGTCAGATTCAGCTGTTAGACTTGACCGCCTGTACTTACCTGTAAGTGGACCTAATTTGCCCTATAAAATGGCCACGTCTGTACAATTAGGGACTGTCGTAAGAGATGCTTTTGTAATTGGTAAGAAAACAGGCATCCTCTCTTTCTAGCCAAGCTTCCTCTCACGGGCCTGGGATCCTAGGACTAAGAAGATGTTCCCCTCCCAGCCCTTCATGTTCCCTCCAATCGGGTGCAGTTAAGCTTTGGGAAATCATTTGTTTTGTTTTGTAAGTTCTGGCCTCACGTGTCGGACCCCCAAGTAGTAGATTGGTGCTCTTGACCTGCTACGCACTCCCGATCGCAGGGCCTCATGGCCGAGTGGGACAATACTGGCCTTTCCGGGGACAGCGTGGTTCTGACTTAGATTCGCTGGGATTCTAAACCGCCATCCCCTGGCAGCCGCAAAACACGGGGCAGGAAAGGAGAGCCACGGGGAGACAAATCCCACTTGGTGAAAAGCAGTAAAACAACCCAAATCTCAGCATCCACCTGGACCCGATAATCTTCATCTTTTGGGGGGTTCACCCCCCTCTTTCCCCTCCTGGTTCTAGCCAGGAAAACGTTTCCAATCTGCTGGAAACCTTTGTGATTTTGAAGGTCACAGGGCACCTAATTTTAAACGCCTCCAATGCTCTCTCCTTTAACGAGCACCGCAGATATCCCCTGAGCCAGGGCTCCTGGGGGCGAGCATTAGGCAGGGAGAATGCGTCAGGTGCCACCTAATTTCCCACGTGGCTCAGGGAAGCGCGACTTCCCACGGAGGCTTTTAGCAGCTCCTTGTTAGTGATGTTTAACTTAGTATCAGGCATTTAATAAGCCTCGTTTAATTGATGGGCCTGGATAGCTCTTCCCTTGAATCGTTATAAGCAAGCGAGGAGGAATAGAGGAGGAAAGAGCGTTCGGAAGGAGGTCTGAGCATTACCATGGTGAGTGTGCGCTGCTGAGGGATGGAGCGGGATGGAGCCGGGGGCTGGAGCACAGGAAACCACCCAAACTGACTCTCAGCACCCAGCTCCCACCCAAGTCCGTGGGGCCTCGCCAGGGGGCCGCCCTGGGGTAGCCCAGCCGATGAGGTGGTGTTTTGTTGTTGTTGTTGTTTAAAAATCAGTATCATTGAAACCTCTTTTGAAAGCAATTAATTTTTAAAAAAATATATTTTATTGATTTTTTACAGAGAGGAAGGGAGAGGGATAGAGAGTTAGAAACATCAATGAGAGAGAAACATTGATCAGCTGCCTCCTGCACACCCCCTACTGGGTATGTGCCCGCAACCAAGGTACATGCCCTTGACCAGAATCGAACCTGGGACCTTTGAGTCCACAGGCTGACGCTCTATCCACTGAGCCAAACCACTTAGGGCTGAAAGCAATTAATTTATTGATTAAACATTTTTCAATGACAATCGCCATTCAACATTATATTTGTTGCAGGTGCACAGCCTATTGGTTAGAGTCCAGTGGTTCTCAACCTTCTGGCCCTTTAAATACAGTTCCTCATGTTGTGACCCAACCATAACATTATTTTCGTTGCTACTTCCTAACTGTCATGTTGCTACTGTTATGAACCGTCATGTAAATATCTGATCTGCAGGATGGTCTTAGGCGACCCCTGTGAAAGGGTCGTTCGACCGCCAAAGGGGCCGCGACCCACAGGTTGAGAACCGCTGGGTTAGACATTTATGTGACGTACGGAGTGATTCCCCTGACGTGTCGAGCACCCGCCTGGCCCCGTGCGTAGTCATCACGATACGATTGGCCACCCTCCCTGGACTGTGCGCTGGGCCTGGTGGGGACACATCTCGGAGCCCGTGTGAGGAAGGGGTGTGCTGCCTGAGCTGAATCCTGTGGCCCTTTGGATGCAAAAATTAGACAAGATGCTGGGGGCCAGGGCTAACGGAGACAGAAATGGAAAGATGAGCTCTCAGATCCATCGCTCGCTCGGGCCCAGGCTGGCATCCACACGGCAAGGTGCAGAGTTGGCACCGCCCCCTCCCAAACGGCCCGGCACCCCCCCATCCGAGCCGGGGACCCCGGGGGCTTCCCCATGAGGGCATCCACTCTGAAACAAAGGATGATGGAGGGTCTCCATGGCAACATGAGGATGGCCGCCCAGCCTCAAACATATTAAGAGACCAGGTCACATGAGCTCAGATGCGAAGATGCCCGGGAGCCCGGTGGGGTGTGGTGGGCAGAAAGCGAGGCGTTTTCGGCCGGGAAAACACCCCGTTACTGTGTCTCAAGGCACAACGATGTGAAAGGAGACAGGAAGGAAGCAAAACTCGGGGAGAGGGGACCCTGGCCAGGTCCCAGGGGGGCAGACAACCGCAGAGAAAGCGATTTCAACCAGCAGCCGGCACCGGTGTGGCTGGGGCTCCTCAACAAAAACAAAACAGACCAATAAAACCCACAGAATTTCTCCAGGGACGCCCAGCAGCAGTTCAGCGAGGATCAGGAGGGCGAATCAGCCGACTGCAGAGTCACTGACCGAGGAGGGCTGGCGTGGGCTGGAGGGAGGGCCGAGCCAGGCCAGCGGCTTGCAGGGTTGCAGGGTTATTCCTTTCGGCTGGTGCAGCGCTGCCTGCCCAGTGATGGATGTCTCGGGACTGGGAGGTTTCCGTTTAAAACAATCAGAAAACAGATTCCTGGCAACATCTGGCCCAGATCCCTCTCTACAGTCACCCTACAAATATGGACTGAGCACCTACTCTGTGCCAAGTGCTCTTCCAGGCCCCAAAGATACAACCGTGGGGTGGGGGCGGGAGTCCTGGATGCCACGGAGTCTCCGTTCTAACGGGGAAAATGACCAATAAACAAATACAGGTGCCAGATGGTGGGAAAAGCCACGGAGAAAGGAGAGCCACGCGAGAGGAGAGAGAGTGACCAGGGGGTGCTATTAGAGGGGGGCCCGAGAGTCCCTGGGCCCCGCAATGCCAGGATCGCTGGGCTCTGGGGCCTGCTCTTAGAACGGTGGTAGCTTGCTCTACGCCGGCGGCGACGACACCGTGAGGGAGGTATTCCAGGAAAGTGTGTTTGATTCTTCATTTACAAACACCATGGGGGGTGGGGGGGTCATGTGGCGGGTTCAGGGACGGCTCGAGGTAGGATGCTTGTGGGATTGAGGACCACGTGGCTCGTCAGACATGCTGTTTTGTCAGCATCAGGGGTTGGCTTCTTGCTTCTGCAGCCCCCTCGGCAGCCCCCCCAGGACAGCGCCTGGGTACAAGGAAGGGCCTCTGTCCTCTGGGCCGTGGGGGAAGGGCCCCGTGTGCCCGGAGCTGCCCCCCGAGTCTTGGCTGGGCTCCTGGAGAGGCGATGGCCGTGCTGTGTGGTCTGTTCTGTGCTGTCAGGACCCAGTGGCCCTCCTGCCTGACTCCGGCCACCTCCGTGCAGGGACACAGCACGCCCCCCATCCATCCCTGACCCCCCAGTCACCACAGCCTCTGCCTTCCCTTCCCCGCCCTCGGTGGACACCCTCCGACAGCAGAAGGAACACGAGGGGTGCTCTTCGCCACCTTCTCTCACCTTCTGCTCCCCGAGTCCCCGTGGGAAGCAGAACGAAGGTTCTCTCTGCTCGGCCTTCCTCTTGGGCTTGAAAACGATTGTTCCCGCTTCAGCCATTGCTCAACGTCGAAGGGGAAGGGGTTCCAGTGCCTGGAGTTTTCTCTCTCGTTGCCTTCCTCCTCCTCCTCCTCCTCCTCTGTAGCGTCTCCATGTTCCCCCTCGGTGTTTGGGAAACTCCCTGGAGTCACTGCCTGGTTCATAGTCTTGGCTCAACCTCTGAGCCACGCCGGCCGGGGTGGGTTTCCTGTTTCCTTCTGCATTTGCTGGGATCTCTGAGCTGACCATTATTAAACCCTAGACCAGCGGTTCTCAACCTGTGGGTCGAGACCCCTTTGGGGGTCGAACGACCCTTTCACAGGGGTCGCCTAAGACCATCGGAAAACACATATATAATTACATATTGTTTTTGTGATTCATCACTATGCTTTAATGATGTTCAATTTGTAACAATGAAATTGGGGGTCACCACAACATGAGGAACTGTATGAAAGGGTCGCGGCATGAGGAAGGTTGAGAACCACTGCCCTAGACTCTTTAACCTCTCGGCTTTATTTCTTCTGCCTCGATGAGGATGATGGAAGGCGAGTCAGTATCTCAAGACTGTCTTAAGCAATGAGGCATCGAGGCTGCCATGCTGAGCTCTCAAACACAACAGCGAAGTCTTCTAAACACACAGAGAGCCAACTTCCTGTCATCTAACATCATGCGGGCAAGGAACACACACACACACACACACACACACACACACACACACCCCTTGGGCTGGCAAACAGATGTTTCCTCCAACCGAATGTCTTATCAGAGTTGCTAATAAGGAACCAAACAAGACATTTTTATTTTTAAAAAAAAATATATTTTATTGATTTTTTACAGAGAAGAAGGGAGAAGGATAGAGAGTTAGAAACATTAATGAGAGAGAAACATCGATCAGCTGCCTCCTGCACACCCCCTCCTGGGGATGTGCCCGCAACCAAGGTATATGCCCTTGACCGGAATCGAACCTGGGACCCTTCAGTCCGCAGGCCGACGCTCTATCCACTGAGCCAAACCGGTTGGGGCCAAACAAGACATTTTAAAATATATATATATATTTTTATTGATTTCATAGAGGCAGGGAGAGGAGAGAGAGAGAGAGAAACATCAATGATGAGAGAGAATCATGGATCGGCTGCCTCCTGCACGCCCCCTACTGGGGATCGAGCCTGCAATCCAGGCATGTGCCCTGATGGGGAATCAAACCTGGGACCCTTCAATCCCAAAAGACATTTTGGCTTTTGTTCTCTCCGTGGCTTCCCACTGGCCGAGTGCTCTGAGATGTGAAATGGTCAGCACGCAGGGCCGATCGATTGGGAGGACCAGAGACGTTTCTATCCGTGACTCCCAACGCGGCAGCAGGAGCTGACTGTGCTGCCCGTGACCTTGAGACACGGGGGGAAGGGGAGAGTCGGACGTGGAAGGGAGAGAAAGTGGGACCCTGCCGGCCTGGCCTGACCAGTGTCCCCCCACGACCCGGTGCAGGCGACTGCTGGCTCCTGGCGGCCATCGCGTCCCTCACCTTGAACGAAGAGCTGCTTCACCGGGTGGTGCCCAGGGACCAGAGCTTCCAGGAGAGCTACGCGGGCATCTTCCGTTTTCAGGTCCTGCGCGTTGCTCGCGGCCCTTGACGCTCCCTTCCATGGTCCCGCCCAGATCCACGGAATCGGAAGCTCTGGGGTGGGCCCGGGTCCTATGTTTTCATGGCCCCTCCAGGTGGCTCTGACACACCCTTGAGCTTGTGATCCATCCGGTCACCTACACATCCACCCCCACCGCCTCCCCCAGGCCTCAGGGCCTCGAGGAAAGCGCGGGGGAGTGAGTGTCAGGAGACATGGTCCGAGTCACACACGGTCACCACAGACGCAGACACGGGGCTCGATGCTTCCCGGCTCCTTGAGCATCTCCTGTGTCAGTGACGGCGAACCTTTTGAGCTCGGCGTGTCAGCATTTTGAAAAACCCTAACTTAACTCTGGTGCCGTGTCACATATAGAAATGTTTTGATCTTTGCCACCATAGTAAAACAAAGATGTATATTTCTGATATTTATTTTATATATTTAAATGCCATGGAACAAAGGAAAGTCAACCAAAAAAAATGAGTTCGCGTGTCACCTCTGACACGCGTGTCACCTCTGACACGCGTGTCACAGATTCACCATCACTGGCCTATGTGCATGGATGAGTAAGACCCCGAGCCTGCTCTTCAGGAGCTTGGAGTCCACTAAAGGCCCGAGACCTGAGCACTGAGCCTCCCAGAGGCTCCTCCGGGGTCCCCCTGAGCGGCGCCGTGTCCCCCCCACAGTTCTGGCAGCACGGCGAGTGGGTGCAGGTGGTGGTGGACGACAGGCTGCCCACGCGGGACGGGCAGCTGCTCTTCCTGCGCTCGGCCGAGGTCAGCGAGTTCTGGAGCGCTCTGCTGGAGAAGGCCTACGCCAAGTAAGTGGGGGGTGAGGTGGGGGGGGTGAGGCGCTAGGAGACCCCACAGTCTTCCTGGAGGGTCTCACCTGCCCCCCTGCCCCCAAACTCAAGGTGTCACATCCAAGTCTTCCCCGGCACCTGGTCCCCCATGCGCTGGACCCTCAGTGACGGAGAGAGACAAACTCGGGCTGGGGGTTGGCCCGCTCAGCTCTGTCCACAGGAGCGTGTGCATGGGGGGCGGGGTGGGGGGAGCCAGGCTGCCTGAGCCTCCTCTTCTCTGAAACCCCACGGGCAGTGTTCAGGCCCATGTGGATTTTGAAAAGGATGATAAAGAAGAAGAAGAAAGAGAATGCACTCAGATACCAAACTCGCCAGAGTCTACTGACCGCTGGTTCCACCGTCCTCCTTCCCATGGGCATGCGATGCTCAACGCCTTCTCCTGGGTTCCTTCAATTAGCTTCGCTCGCTAGCACCCTTTTCTGTAACCCCGGCTCCTCTCCAGCCCTGTTCCCACAGCAGGTCCCTTGGGGTGTCCCTCAGCCTTGAGGGAGGGTCCCCCTCACCCCTATTCATGCCCCCCAACCCTCAGAAACCCAAGAAGCGAGGGTCAGCTTTGGAAAGGTGACGCTTGGCAAAGGGTGGCCTGGGGGGAGGGAGGTGGTCTGAGATGCGTTCCCGGTAAGGAGCTGAGTTGGCCACGTGAAACGGTGGCCCAGCACCTTCCCCGGCCACAGCGAGACTGGCACGCCTCCTCTGTTACCTTCAGACCAGCCATGTCCCAGCATCGTGCCTGCCCCCGCCCCCCACGTGGCTGCTCCCTGGGGCTGCTCAGGGCTGTGGATGGTGCGAGCCTTCTTTTCAACAGGCTCCTCGGCTCCTACGAGGCCCTCGCCGGCGGGTCCACGGTGGAGGGGTTTGAGGACTTCACGGGCGGCATCTCGGAGTTTTTTGACCTGAAGAAGCCACCGACCGGCCTGTTCCAGATCATCCGGAAGGCCCTCCGCGCGGGGTCCCTGCTGGCCTGCTCCATTGACGTGAGCTCCCCTCCCCACGTGTGGCCGGGAGGGGACCGGGCCGGCCTTGGGCCAGAGCGGAGCCTGGGACTTCATGGGCAAGTCCACTGGCACCTTGGTCCCAGCCCGTGGGAGCTGGTGCAGCCCTAATGAGTGGGTAGGAACTGGGGTTGGACTCACGGTGGGAGCCCCAATTTCCCCTCACTGGTGGGGCCCCTTCGGTACCGTGGAAATCGCCCCAAGAAGGCAGCCTTGAGCCCTGGATCCTCACCCTGCTTTGCTAGGCCTTGTTGGGAAGTAGTTTTGGGATTTGGGGAAGCAAATGCGATGATTGACAACTTGACGGACTTGGAAAAAGCGAGAGGGTCTGAAACCAGGGGCCACACCCTGGCGGGGGTTGGCTGTGTGGGGTGCCAAGGTGGCATGGAGACCCCGGCCCCCTGGTCTGTGACCACCCGCTCCTCCTCTTCCTCCTGCTCACCTGGTGGCCTAGGCCTGTGGGTGACACGTTTCTATGAAGATCCTAGCGGGACATGTGTGTTTCTGGTGGTGGATGACATGGGCATGGGTGGGGGAGGAGGCTGTGAAACAGGGAGGATGCTGGGAAGCTCGATCCATGAAAACAGTGAGAACCAGAACTCATCCTGGGCAGCCGTCCTGGGTCATTATCCCTCCTGCAGGCAGCGGGATGAATGAGTTCCCGGTTCTGTGACATTTTAAAAATATATTTTATTGATTTTTTACAGAGAGGAAGGGAGAGGGATAGTTAGAAACATCGATGAGAGAGAAACATCTATCAGCTGCCTCCTGCACACCTCCCACTGGGGATGCGCCCACAACCAAGGTACATGCCCTTGACCAGAATCGAACCCGGGACCCTTCAGTCCCCAGGCCGACGCTCTATCCCCTGAGCCAAACCGATCAGGGCTCCGTGACATTTTAAAGGCTTGGCAGCCAAACAGGTTTGGCTCAGTGGATAGAGCGTTAGCCTACGGACTGAAGGGTCCCAGGTTCAGGTTCGATTCCGGTCAAGGGCATGTACCTTGGTTGCGGGCGCATCCCCAGTGGGAGGTGTGCAGGAGGCAGCTGGTCGATGTTTCTCTCTCATCGATGTTTCTAACTATCCCTCTCCCTTCCTCTCTGTAAAAAAATCAATAAAATATGTTTAAAAAAAAATAAAGGCTTGGCAGCCACACAGCACCCTGCCCGGAACGGCAGGCCTAAGGAAAGGGGGTGGGGTCGCATGGAGAGGTTCCTTTTACCTGCACCCCCAGCCCCACACCAAGGCCCCGGGGCTGGGTGGTATGTCCTTGGGAAGCATTGTAGGACCAGCCCCCACAAGGTCAGGGGCGGCCGCCCTGAGTGGACTGGGTTCCCGACGCAGGTCTCCAGCGCGGCCGAAGTGGAAGACATCACCCGCCAGAAGCTGGTGAAGAGCCACGCGTACTCGGTCACGGGGGTCGAGGAGGTAACACGGGGCAGGGGGAGCGCGAGGGTAATGAGTCATGACATTGGCCATCAGTCCAGGGAGTCCCTGAGAGAGAGGGGGGGGCGGGCCCACCTGGTTGAGGCCTCTCTCTGGCTGCACGGGGTCGTGGTACACTTATGAGTATGGATTTTGGAGACAGACTGGGTGCCTGAGCTCCATGTACTTCTTAGTAGCTAAGTCATCACCGGTCACTTAACCTCTCTCTCTGAGTCTCCGATATTTGAGCTGTAAAATGAAGATAGTAACAGATCCATGCCCGGCCGGTGTGGTTCAGTGGTTGGGCGTCGACCCATGAACCAGGAGGTCACAGTTCGATTCCCGGTCAGGGCACATGCCCGGGTTACGGGCTCCATCCCCAGTAGGAGGCAGCCGATTCTCCCTCATCATCCACGTTTCTGTCTCTCCCCTCCTCTCTCTGAAATCAATAAAATAAATAGATAACAGACGCAGCTCACAGGATTGTCATGAGGTTTAGATGAGGGGACAGCGCATTTGGGGTGCCTCTCGCTGTGCCTGGTCCGTAGCCCACGCTCCGTGAATGCTAACTGCTGGGCGCGGAGTATTTATCGGGCAGGCATTTATTACCATTCGTCTCATAGAGTAAGAACGGAGTCGGCTATAAAACCTAAACCCAAGTGAAAGGAGACATAAACTTGTTTTTGTGCCGGGTTTATTATTTACGCAACCTAATGGCGAAAAACAGAGCGGCGAGGCCCGGCCTGGAAACACGCGTTAAAAGCAAATGAAAGTGTGGCTGTTTGGGGACATTTGAGAAACGGGGTGCAGACACGGACGCAGGGCGCCGGGGGCCACCGTTGTCGTTACCATGGCTTTTGCAGGTGGATTTCCGTGGACGCCCGGAGAAGCTGATCAGACTCAGGAATCCGTGGGGCGAAGTGGAGTGGACGGGCGCCTGGAGTGACAAGTAGGTGCTGTCCCCTCTCCCCCGGGGCGGGAAAGCGTCGCGCAAAGACACAACCATGATGACAGGGGCGGTGTAGTGAGTCCCCCGCAGCCTGTTCGGAAAAGGGTAGCAATGGCTCCCGCCTGGGAACCGCCAAGCAGACAGACCCCACTGAGCCGGAGTCTTGGATGCTGGGTGTCTGCTGGGCCTTTGCACGTCGGGCATCTCCGTTGAACTTGGCTCCTGGCTGCGGGGTCTGTCTGTTTTCCACCCGCCACACCACACCGTGGTGACCCAAAGGTGAGATCCCTCCGTCACAATTGGGTTCCCTCCGCTCCGCAAACCCTGGCCACGCTGACAAAGGGCAGGCCCCTCAGCGCCCACAGGAAATGACCACTTAGGAAGTGAACTCCATCCCGGGGACCAGCTGGCCGCAGCGGGCAGTGATGGATGGAGTGGCCCGCGCTCCCCGGAGCTCCTGGCAGCCGGGCATTGATCTTTCCCGCAAAGCCATTAGCGGCCACAGAGGCCGCTCTGGGCCGGGCATCTCCGCTGGGGAGGGAGGGGGAGTCAGTGCGAGATGGTGGCTGGACTGCGAGGCCCCCGTGGTGTCCCCCGACTGCTGCGCCCTGGGATCGAGGTCCCCGAGGGTGTCGAGCACGTGGGAGGGTTTCCTCCGAGTCACCACTGCTGGCATGGTGGGTGGGGGGTGGCTGTCACTGGGATTCCTGTCTCACCTTTTCTTCCCAATGGAGTGAGCCATCCTTCCGGGTCTCTGACCTCAGGCTCAGCTTCCTGTCTAAGAGGGACGCCGGCCTGGCTTAGAGGACATCCGTGGGAATGAAGTGGGAGGGGCATCGTTAGGGGGACCCCAGTTCACGCTTCATTCTCTTTGCTTGGCTGTTGAGATGTCTGAAGGGCTCTGGTAGGTAAGAAGGAGAAGCGAACGGTGGTGAGGAGACTGGACCACAGCCTCTGTGTTTGTGTCTGTGGCTTGTAGGAAAGCCGAGCACTAGCCCCGTAGCCCGTCCCCTGTGCCCAGGAGGCCCCCAGGCAGGGGGACACATTGATATTTCTCTGTCTCTCTCTCCCCCTCCATTCTCTCTCTTAAAAAAAAAATCAGTGGGAAAAATATCCCTGGGTGAGGATTAACCAAAACAAAAATTTTTTAAAAAAGTCATTCAGCCCTGACTGGTTTGGCTCAGTGGATAGAGTGTTGGCCTGCGGACTGAAGGGTCCCGGGTTCGATTCCAGTCAAGGGCATGTACCTTGGTTGCGGGCACATCCC